AGTGATGAAATTGAACTCCTCTGGCAATTCAACCATCAAATTAGGAGGGTGGGCTGGTGCATTGTCCATCACCAATAGAGCTTTCAGTGGAAGATTATTCTCCCTGAGGTATTCCCAAACACTGGGTCCAAACACCTCAGTCACCCACTCAGAGAAAAGACTCCTGGTCACCCAAGCCTTTGGGTTTGACCGCCACATAACACCAAGGCGGTTCTTCCTAATGTTTTTTAAAGCTCTGGGGTTTTCTGCATGGTACACAAGGAGTGGTTTTATCTTGCAGTCACCAGAAGCATTAGCACAAAGAAGGAGGGTAAGCCTGTCTTTCATCGGCTTATGGCCAGGGACAGAAGTTTCCTCCCTTGTAATGTACGTACGGCGAGGCATTTTTTCCAAAAAAGTCCAGTTTCGTCACAGTTAAATAACTGCTGAGAAACAAAGCCTCCCTCTTTAATCACATTTAAAAAAAGTCATGGTGTTCCCTAGCTGCATCCTTATCTGCATTAGTAGCTTCACCATGTCTCACAACACTGTGTAACTTATTTCTTCTTCTGAAACCAGTAAACCACCCCTTGGTACCCTTAAACACTGGCACAGCACTATCACTTCCACTGGGAGTCTTGGCTTTAAGGTCCTCAAACAATTGTTTGGCCTTCTCACAAATTATAGCTTCACTAATGCTATCACCTGCCATTTCTTTCTCCTTTATCCACACTAAGAGTAAATTTTCCATCTCTTCAATCACATTACACCTTGATTTGCTAAGTCTAGAGATTCTCTTAGCCACTTGACAGTTTTCAAATCTTCTTTATTTTTCAAAATCGTATATACAGTATAGTCGATTTAGCCATCCCATATTCATCACTAAGTTTCGCAATGCTTGTTCCATTCTCACGTTTCTTTATGATTTCTTTCTTAGTTTCAAGGGTTATGAGCTTTCTCACTCGCTTTGAACAATTCATTGTTACAATTGTACACTTGTATAACAAAATAGTTATACAAATAACACGAATTTCCACATCAAAAGACAAAATTTCAACAATAACAGTGGTGCACTGGCTACACAATGAGACAAAGATGGCGCCTGACGCTCTTGTTGTGAGCCGGGGTACAACAATATTCATGCGCCAGACGAAATAGTCCCGTATTCATCCGCGTTCGTTGTAGGAGTTGCATTCATTATAGCATTCTCAATTTTATAGGTAAAACCGTTCAATTTATGCGGTCAATTGAACCCGCGGAGGTCCGTGTAAAACGAGAAACGTGTAAATGGAATAACAAAACATATGGGATTAATTGAAATAGAGACTGGGCCGACTCCCAAACTCCACTTTTTCAGACACAATACCGACACAATACCTATGTTGTAGTAAAAATAACATCTTAATTTTATGATGGTATGCACACACAATTAATATTTAAGAGAAATACAGTCGGCAGGTTAATGTCCATTCAAATAATGGACTCAACTCTCGCCCCCCCCCCACCCTCTTCCCATGCTCGCTGGCTCCTCCCTCTCTGAGAAATGTTTGGGTGAAAACACTAGATTTTAAGGTTTAGTAATAAATAATACCTCAGACTAAAGTTAGGTTTAATATAATTGACATTGCTGGATTCCTTGCAAGATCAGGAATATTTTGAATATACATATCATATATTTTGCACAAAAGATAACATATTTGCTCTGTGTAAACAAAATTCTTGCATTAGATCTAAAATTTGTACAGTTGTACCCCACTTAACGCGGTCAATTGAACCCAGAGGGTCCCGCGTTAAGTGAAATCCGCGTTAAGTGAACAACAGAACATATGGGATTAATTCCAATAGAAACCGGCCCGACCCCCAAACTCCACTTTTTGAAGGCACATACCTATGTTGTAGTAAAAATAACATCTTAATTTTATGATGGTACATGCACACAATTAATACTTAAGAGAAATAGAGAAATACAGTCGCCAAGTTAATGTCCATTCAAATAATGGACTCAACTCCCTCCCCTCTCACACTACACTGCCGGCTCTTCCCTCTCAGAGAAATTTTTGGGGAAAACCACTAAATTTTAATAAATAATACCTCAAACTAAAGTTAGGATAATACAATTGACATTGCTGGATTCCTTGTAAGACCAGGAATATTTTGAATATAAATGTCATATATTTTGCACAAAAGATAACATAGTTACCTAGAGAAAAATTTTTATCTAAAATTTGTATGTTTAATGCAAAATATATGATGTTTATATTCAAAATGATCACCAAATTATAAGAATTCCAGCAATGTAAATTATATTCTGACCGGGTAATTTGTATGAATTTTATGAGCTAAAACAAATATCTTCAGTTAATAAAAAAAAAATAATCTTCACGACACTATCTGTCAATCAAAGTACCCCACCTTGCCTCCCCCCCTCTTCCAACCGCGCGGTCAGTCCCAACCCTCCCCCCACCCCCCACCAATCCTCCCTTCCAGAGTTTTTAACATTTAGTATTAAATAATACCTCAGATTAAAGTTAGGATAATATAATTGACATTGCTGGATTCCTTGTAAGACCAGGAATATTTTGAATATAAATGTCATATATTTTGCACAAAAGATAACATAGTTAATTTGAGAAAAATTTTTATCTAAAATTTGTATGTCTAATGCAAAAATATGATGTTTATATTCAAAATGATCATCAAATTATAAGAATTCCAGCAATGTAAATTATATTCAGACCGGGTAATTTGTATGAATTTTATGAGCTAAAACAAATATCTTCAGTTAATAAAAAAAAAAATAATTCTTCACGGGGTAACAGATGGTCGGTCGGTCCCTCCCTCCCCCCCACCAACCGTCCCAAGGAGATGTGTGGGATAACCACTAAATTTTAATAAATAATACCTCAAACTAAAGTTAGGATAATATAATTGACATTGCTGGATTCCTTGTAAGACCAGGAATATTTTGAATATAAATGTCATATATTTTGCACAAAAGATAACATAGTTACTCTGAGAAAAATTTTTATCTAAAATTTGTATGTCTAATGCAAAATATATGATGTTTATATTCAAAATGATCACCAAATTATAAGAATTCCAGCAATGTAAATTATATTCTGGCCGGGTAATTTGTATGAATTTTATGAGCTAAAACAGGCAATCAGGCAGGGTGGCGGGTGGGGCAAATCTAAAAATAGCGTCTCGAGCCGGACATTCACCACGTATATGTGGAAAAATCCGTGTTAAGTGAAAGTTCAGCTCTGGCGAGGCACCGCGTATATGATAAAACGCGTTAAGTGAAACCGCGTTAGGCGGGGTAATACTGTATGTCTAATGCAAAATCCATGATGATTACATTCAAAATGATCATCATATTGTAAGAATTCCAGCAATGTAAATTATATTCTGGCCGGGTAATTTGTATGAATTTTATGAGCTAAATAAAAAAAATTATACTTCACCTGCGTATATGAGTAGATGCACCGCGTAAAGTGGGAATTCCGGTTCTGGCAGGGTACCACGTAAATGTAGAAACGCGTAAACCAGAACCGCGTAAAGCGGGGTATTACTGTACAGTATATATAATGTACAGTACAGTGTATATGTTTGAATACATACTGCATACCAGTATGCAAAGCTATTAATTTCTGTTTCATGCAGCCTGTTTACTTAAACAAAAACCCCTTTCTAACCAAGAAAGCTCAGTGAAACATGCACAATTCAAATGCCTCTCACACTCCAACTTTCTCCCTTAAAGAATATAAACCAACTAAAAGGAAGAACAATGAGACATAACACGAGTGAGAACATTGTACAGTACTGACTTCAAAGAATAATTGAAGATAGTTCTGCTCCATAATTGTCTGAAGAAATAAATTTGAATGACCTCCCTTGCATTGTAGTGTGTGTTTATATCTACGATATTTGCTTGAACGATGGTCATCGTCCAGCCAATGTGGAATATGGAACACCTCTCTCGATACACTTGTCAGCTGTTGTCTACTCGAGTGTCGCCACATTGCCACCCAGGGCATGACAATCCTAAGCTTTGTTCCATGGTGATTGTATATGCCCATGATCGTGTAGCTCAACGATTAGTGGTCAGTATTTGTGTTGTTAATTATAATACAGTATATATATTTTTGTTACCTTACTGTGAGAGGACACCACTAATGTTCAATGTACTCTGTTTGGTGACTGTGAAGTGATTTCTGCTATGTTGTTGTGAACATGAGGTGTGCAGTGTCAGCAGTAATCATTATTTTTATGATAAAATCTTTCGCTCTGTGTTTGTGACTGTGAAGTGAGCAATGTAACTTTGAAGATGCCTGGGAAAGCCAAGATGCCCATGAAAACTATCTATCTGGAGGTGAAGCTTGACATTGTGAAGCTGTGTGGGAGTCAATAGTGACACCTCCACTCCACCCACAAGAGTCCCCTTAGCCTCAAAGGGTACATGTGATGATGACCAGACTTCTTCTTAATAATGTGGTGAGTGTTCTTCAATTGTGTTTTATGTATATCATTAGTGTAGTTATTTTATTTTGGGTGAAACATGTGGGTGTTGGACTGGCTGGGAACATATCCCGTTGAACCGCATGTTATAATGATCCCAATTTACGATGTCGTCCTGTGATGGTTTTTTCAGGAACATAACCCCATCGTAAATAGGGGTCACCTATACAGTTCTGTATATACTGTATATATAAAACAGTTACATTTGACCATGAATTCCTAAAAGACCTTCACCCTCAGACTGACTCACTTGGCAAGTGAGTAATGCATACTCCCAGTGCAATAAAGATGCAATTCTTTAACTGTACTGTACTGCATTCCAGGCATTGTATTACCACTGTAGAGTGGAAATCAATCTAGTGTTCCAGCTAACTGTCAGACATAATAATGCAAGTCAAATGCAGTCACAGTGAGAGTACAAAAATATGAAGTGAACGTCTTTCCAATGTGCATGCAAAAGAAAGTGAGAATATGGTCTACTGGGGATGTAAGTCAACACCTAC